GGTGTCGCACTGCGTTCGAGGATCCTCTTGCTCGCTTAGGGAACGATAACGGGTCTTCGAGTCTGCGAGAATGTTCTGGACGAAGGCGGCGTACTCCTCGACGGTCTTCCACTCTCGAGCTGCAACGTGCGTCGGGGATCGGTGGCCGTACACGCTTGCTGTGCGAAGGTCGCTTGCGGCAGGGGACAGGCTCAATAGGTAGTCGTCCAGTTCGCTGAGCAAGCTTGTGTACGAGCTTGGGGCCTGGTTGTACGTGTCGCGGACGCGGGGGAACACATAGCGGGGCTCGTCACTCGAAGCGAAAACGCCTTTCATCGACCCACTATGGTACGGGACTTCGCGGACTGAAACCTCGATGGCCTTCTCCTTTGGTTCGGGTTCTGTGCGCATCGGCGGGAACGCCTTGTCCTCCACGTCCATCTTAGCCTCGTATACGGCCAACGCATCGAGTTTCGCCGGTCTTGAACGTTCGGCAGGCGGGGCGAGCGGCGTACGAGGCTTCGAATTAACTTGCTGGGTGCGGCCGTAGCGGCTCCTATCCTCGGACGCAAGTAGCGCAATAAACTCCTCGTGAATCTGTCGCCGCGTGCTCGACGCCAGTGTTGGTGGAGAAGGAGAGGAGCTAGCCGGCTTAGGGAGCGCCTCGCGGGCGCGAGGCATCTCCTCGGTGTGGACGTGGACATTGCTCACTTGCTCGCCAACTCCAAGACACATGGGCGCCAGCGAGCCGAAGTCCAACATTGTCACCTCGTCCTCCTTGTCTTCGTCGGCCGCGAGCATCTGGAGCTTCATCGGCTTCGACCTGGTCGGCGAACCTGGTGGCGTTGACGGGAAGTGCTCAGAGCCAATTTCCCATGCGCGATTGTGGTGGCCATGATCGTTGGATGAAAGGGTGGTGTTTGCCGAGAATTGGCTGCTCATTGAGCTCGTTGGAGAGAGCGGTGGCGTGCTAATAACGCTCGATGCGGGCGACAGAACATGGGCGCTTGTGCGTCGGATGGGTGCTGACGGAGGGCAGTGATGACCGCGCGGACGCAGGGGCGCAGGCTGGAACGAGAGCGAGGACGAGGTTGGTGGTGGTAGCGATTTCGGCGTTGGGAAGGTGAGCGGCTCTGTTGTGGCGGCGGGTGTTATGTCAGTGGCGGACGCGACAGTGGCGCTGATAAACTTACCATCTCCCTTTAAATAGTTGTCGATACCTGAGGTTTTCTTGTACAGTTGTTTTCGTTTTTCTGGAACGGAGACGGCTGTACAAGATGACTTGCAGTCATATTGACCGGAACGGTACTGCTCGTGTTCAGACTCGTCGTAGCTGGACGCGCTATTGGTGCACGTTGATAGCTCAGCTGAGGCAGCCAACATCGTGCTTGCTGGAGTGTGGAACGCCGTCGCGAGTCCTGGGGGAGGGGGGATCATGGTGGTCTAAAGTCAACTGGAGGTAGGCGCCCCAACAGCCTTTTAAACCAGGTGACTATTGCGGGTACGTCCTTCTCCGCGAGCTGATGTGTTTCTGATGATCGTGTTTTCACTGAAAACATTTGCTTCCCCTTATTTTCCGACTGCGCAGATAGCCCGTGATTTTGGCACGAGTGCGTTTATGGTCTCTCTTTTGTTCACAGCCGCCACCGCCGTGCTAGCTTCGGCGGGACGATAGCCGCTGGTCGGTTAAGCCGGCGAGAGCGCCGGGAGACTCAGATTTGGTGCCTCGGGATCACTTGTTAAACGATTCTCACGGTTGTGAAACGTAAGAGGTTGGCTGTGGAAGGGTAATTGAGAGGGAGCAGGCATAGCTCCGGCCTCGATGAGACGGCCGGTAGTTTTGTGGCGTTGGCGTCAGTGGTACCGCCAAAGTGCGCTGTGAAGGCTGTGGCACACGGTTCACCGTCCACAGCGAGAGACTGCTCTGAATAGAAGAATGTGTAGTCTTTGTAGCTTCCAAGTTTACTTTATCACCGATAACGAGAGCGGAGGGATGGACGCATCGAACGATCTGTGATCGCCGTGGGCCTTCCCTGCACACAGCTTATTGGTATTTGCGTTATGAATGTCCTACAAGCATTACACAGCCTAGGATGATACACAACTGATAGAATCTATTCAGGATGATGTGTTGTGAATCTCGGACTGCTGTGTTTTGTCGGAATCCTTACCCGCTTTTCGAGCTGAGACCGGGATACCGGCGCCTCGTCCGCGCGTTATTTACGCACGTTTGCCCCTCCTTTCATTCGTATCTAAGACATGTCGCACTATAGTGTGATTATTTACCTTTATCTACCCGCCAAACGGATTGCGAGCGCTGTGTTTTCATCACCCGACCCGACGACGTAAGTAGACGAGCGGCCACGGCTATAAGCCAGCGGGGGTCACGCGCATCTTAGCTTCGATAGATAAAGTGTGCGACATGAGCTAGCGCCAAAAATCGGCGTGAAAGAGCCTATATGTCGACTACGTAGATCACTGCGGCGACCCGCTTCTTCAACGTGTTTGCATTCGCAGAGACCGGTTGCTGGCCATGGTCGCCGCCAGAGAGGACACAGAGAGGTCTGTCGTAAACCAGAGGGTGCTCCAGTTCTTTTGCCGCCTAGTATCGTACACTGCCAAGACTTCGTACATGACTTGCTACCAACGTGGTCCGACTATGGCTGCAAACCGCAGACGGTCTCAGTGTCTGCCGGGGTGTCCGTCACTCAGGCTCAGTATTCGGACGGCTGGGATCCTTCAGTACACCATGATATCTCCAACTTCCTAGCATGTCACACCTCCATCCTTCTGCTTTCTCGTGGGACGACACTCCCGCAGAGTCTGGTATGAGACGCCCGACCGCCTCGCGTCGACTACGGCAGCCGGAAGAAGTAAGCAACGATAGTGTGGCGTTCAATTCAATCGATTGCGTTGCAATGCCGGCATTGTTGCGTCGCTTGCTCCACGTTTGTCCCACCTCCACAGCATGCCATCATCAAAGGCATTTAAGAGTTTTAGCGGCTCCGGTGTCCTAAGACAGCGTGAGACGGTACACGAGCTGTTCTTTCCGAATGTAATCCTATACAGGCTGAGTGTGCTGGTTTATCGTACAATCCCCGAGGGTGAGCTCATCGATGTCTGTCCTTCAAGCGTCCGTCCCAAATTTCTGCAGCGTTGACGATTGAGGATCAGGAGTCGTTTAAGGGAAATGCTAATCCATACCTCGCGCAACGAGTTCAACTCGCCTTTCCAAGCAAGATAAGCTGCCCCAGAGTCGGACCAGATTTGGTAGCCTATCATTTTGCCTTCGTCGTCGAAGTCAAGGTTGTAGACAAATTTCTCATTCCACGAGTTGCCTTTGCCGGCCCCCTCGATCCATGTGAACTTGGCCGAGCCCACGCAAGATACTTTCTTCGCCTCTGTATCGACAATCCACTCGCCTGCATGCGGGTGTCTCAGATCGGAGCCATGGTAGTGGCGCGAAACTTATCTTACCGAAGCTCATGTCCTCGTAAGAGAGATGCGTTACCAGAAGTATGAAATACGCTTCCAACGAGCCGGGGCCGCTCCTGCCCTTGAATGCTCGTCCTAAAAACGGGGCCAAGAAGGGCTCGCCATGCTCGTACGCGGTGTTCTCGTGCTTCGTCGAGAAATGCGAGAAGAGATCTGGCAAGGCAGCTTTTCGTGCGATATCGTTGCATAGAGCCTGCGCAGAGGCGAGGAGCTGGGATCGTGAGAGTGTCATGGCTGGAGGTAAGGAGGCAGAGTACGCGGCCATGGATTATGTATATAGTCTGCAATCTTCCTACGCTCAACCTGCGCTTGTCCCAGTCAAGGTCCCAGCCTCCCAGGCGGCATTTCTGATAAACGACAGCTGCCTTTTATGTCAATGGAGCTGTGAACCTGTGAAGCTAAGATCACGTGGAAAAACACGAGGCTGAACATCGTTGGCGCCCAACCGCAAGCGAGCGCACACCGGATCCCCGAAGATCCCTGCTCAATTGGCGGGGCGTAAGTCCATCATTTCATTTTGAAGGGCAACCTTTAAACCCTTGACCTTATATTACACACCTTGCTTCCATACGCTCACCTTCCCCTCTTCTGCCTGCACGCACGCTCTCGCCCACACTCTTTAGTCCTGTCCTG